GACTAGCTAAAGCCAAGTCATTGGTGTAAAAATAGGCAGGATATTCCCCAGCATAAATTCAGTGCCTTATTGGTGGTTTGCTTTAGCTTTCCAGCTACCCCCTGTGCTGACAAAATGGCATAAAAATTGTACAGCAGCTACCAAGACCTTAATCTATATATTCATATACTTAATCCATACAACTCTATGCATTTACTTCTGGCCAACATGTTCTTAAACCTAGACTAGCCAAACCACGTTGAAAAAAATGTAGCTCACCACCCTTTGTTATTTTGTACTGCAATATGAAACCCAACATAAGCCCTAAGATTCACCCAACAATTCACACTGGAACCAGCCTTAAATTTAACGAGCATTTCACAGCATGGCAACTCTTTCTCCACCCCTTCAGGGAATCTGGCATGCCAGATGTTAACCCTAGCCTTCAGATCACTGTTAGTCCACTGGATCCTGCCAGTCTTAGACCTAAATTAAGACCAACAGCCCAGCTATTAAGCACTAATTAAGCCAAACCCTAATCCAAACCATAATTTTGAACATAGTTTTAGGCCACCAATCTTTGTAAAGCTAGGTGACCTCTGGTGGCTGCAGCTCTAACCTCTGATCACAGGGCCTCCCAAATGCAACAGCTCCTGTTACGGTCATCTCTTACAATAGCATTAACCTTGGTTTCACTCACGTTTGAAGCCAGCAGCTCCTGCCTACTCCTACTGCCCTGACTCTAAACTTACAGAATTGTAGAACAGTTTGGGTTGGAAGGGACCTTTAAAGGTCATCTAGTCCATCCCCCCTGCAGTAAGCAGGGACATCTCTAATTAGATCAGGTTGCTCAGAGACCCGTCCAACCCGGCCTTGAATGTTTCCAGGTATGGGGCTTCTACCACCACTCTGGGCATCCTGTGCCAGTGTTTCACCACCCTCATTGTAAAAAATTTCTTCCTTACATCTAGTCTGAATCTACTCTCTTTTAGCTTAAAACCATTACTCCTTGTCCTGTCACAACAGGCCCTGCTAAAAGTTTTGTTTGCCCCCATCTTGGACTTGACGATCTTAGAGGTCTTTTCCAACCTAATGATTCTATGATGCTATGATCTTTCTTATAGGCCCCCCTTAAGTACTGAAAGGCCGCAATAAGGTCTCCCCAGAGCCTTCTCTTCTCCAGGCTGAACAACCCCAGCTCTCTCAGCCTGTCCTCACAGGGGAGGTGCTCCAGCCCCCTGATCATCTTTGTGACCCTCCTCTGGACCCATCGAGCAGGTCCATGCCTTTCCTGTGAGGAGGACTCCAGAGCTGCACAGAGTACTGCAGGTGGGGTCTCGCTGGAGCAGAGCAGAAGGGAAGAATCACCTCCCTCGACCTGCTGGCCATGCTTCCTTTGATGCAGCCCAGGATGCGATTGGCTTTCTCGGCTGCAAGTGCACACTGCTGGCTCATGTCAAGCTTTTCAACCACCAACACCCCCAGATTCTTCTCAGCAGGGCTGCTTTCAATCATTCATCCCCCAGCCTGTATTGATACCAGGGGTTGTCCCAGCCGAGGTGCAGGACCTTGCATCTGGCCTTGTTGAACCTCATGAGATTCGCATGTGCCCACTTCTCGAGCTTGTCCAGGTCCCTCTGCGTGACATCCTGTCCCTCAGGCATGTCAACCACACCACTCAGCTCAGTGTCATCTGCAAATCTGCTGAGGGTTCCCTGGATCCCCCTATGTCATTGATGAAGATACTAAACAGCACTGGTCCCAATACAAACCCCTGAGGGACACCACTTGTCATTGATCTCCATCTGGACATTGACTCGTTGACCACTACCCTGTGAATGTGACCATCCAACCAATTCCTCATCTCCATGCATCAAATCCACATCACTCCAATATAGAGGGAAGAATGTTGTGGGGGACCATGTCAAAGGACTTACAGAAGTTCAAACAGACATCACCCATAGCTCCTCCATTGTCCACTGCTGTAGTCACTCCACCATAGAAGGCCACTAAGTTGGTCAGGCAGTACTTGTCACTGGTGAAGCCATGCTGGCTGTCTCAAACCACCTCCCTGTCCCCCATGTGCCTTAGCATAGCTTCTAGGAGGATCTGTTCCACAATCTTCTCAGACCCAGAGGTGTAGCTGACAGGTCGGTAGATCCCAGGGTCCTCCTTTCTATCCTTTTTAAAGACGGGTGCAATGTTTCCCTTTTTCCAGTCACTGGGGACTTCACCTGACTGCCATGACTTTTCAAATATCATGGAGCGTGGCTTGGCAACTACATCAGCCAATTCCCCCAGGACTCATCGATGCATCTCCTCAGGTCTCATAGACTTAAGTATGTTCAGGTGGTCACGAATCTGATCTTCTCTTACAGCGGGAGGCACTTTGCTCCCCCAGTCCCTGTCTTGCAGTCCACCCACTCAAGTGGTGTGGGAAGAGAGACTGACAGTGCACTGAGGCAAAAAATGTTGTTAAGTATCTTAGCCTTCCCCTCGTCCACTGTTGCTAGTTTGCCATGTTCATCAGTGGGGGTACACTTTCTTTGACCTTCCTTTTCTGGTTGACGTACCTGCAGAAGCCCTTCTTATTACTCTTTGTGTCCCTGGCCAGGTTCAGCTCCAGTCATCCCTTGGCCTTCCTGACTCCATCCCCACACAATCAGGCAGCATCCCTGTACTCTTCCCAGGATACCTGTCCCTGCTTCCACTGCCTGTGCACTTCCTTCTTGCCCTTTAGTTTGACCAGCAGGTCTTGACTCAGCCATGCCCGTCTCCTGCCTGCCTTCCCTAATTTCTTACACCTGGGGATTGAGAGCTCTTGCACCATATGGAAAGTGCCCTGAAAGATCTGCCAGCTCTGTTCCGTGCCCTTGTCCCTGAGGGTGGTTTCCCAGGGGTCCTATTGACTAACTCCTTGAAGAGCTGGAATTTCCTAAAATTCAGGGTCCTGACTTTACTCTTTGCCTGATCCATATCCTTCAGGACTGTAAACTCCACCAGTGCATGATCACTGCAGCCCAGGCTGCCTCCAATCTTGATGTCTGTAATTAGCTCACTTGTGTTGGTGACCATCAGGTCCAGTATCGCATCCCGTCTGGTAGGGCTGTCATTACGTGACTTAAGAAGTTATCCTCAATGCATTCCAGGAATCTCCTGGATTGCCTACAGCTCACTGTGCTACTTTTCCAGCAGATGTCAGGTCGGCTGAAGTCCCCCAGCACGACAAGAGCTTGCAAGTGTGAAGTCTCCTGCAGCCAGAGTAAGGTGGCTTCATCAATATGCACCCCTTGATCAGATGGCCTGTAGTAGACACCAACCAGAAGGTTCCCTTTGTGCCTTGGTCTGTAATTCTTACCCACAAGCCTTCAACTCACTCGTGGCTGTTCTTCAGAGACAGCTCTTCACACTCTATCGACTCCTTCATGCAGAGGGCAACCCCTCCACCCACCCTTCCTCGCCAGTCCCTTCTGAAGAGCCTGTAGCCGTCAATGGCTGCACTCCAGTCACAGGATTCATCCCACCAAGTTTCAGTAATGGCACCTAGGTCGCAGCTTTCTAGCAGCACAGCGGCTTCCAGCTCCTCCTGTTTGTTGCCCATGCTGTGTGCATTGGCATAGAGGCACTTCAGCTGGGCTGTTGGCCATGTCACATTTTTAGAAGAACAGACCTTAATCCCTTTGAGGTATTTCCCTGGTGTTTCCCTGTAGGCTCCTCAGGAACCCCTGGCTCATCTCCATGAGACTTCAAGTGTTCTCCAGTGTACCCATCACATCTCAGAGCAACAGGCCAAGGGCCCTCGCTAGCACTCCGACCCTCTAACCTTGGTGTATCATCCCAAAGCTCATCACGGGCAAGCTTGGTATTATCACCTTCCCCTTTCAATTTTAGTTTAAAACTCTGTCAATAAGCCCTGCTAGCTCATGAGCGAAGACCCTCTTCCCCCTTTGAGATAGGTGAATCTCATCTGACACTGGCAGGCCTGGTGCCAGGTAGACCATCCCATTAATGAAAGCCCAAAATTGTGGTGGACACCAGCCATGAAGCCAGGTATTAACAGACTGGGTCTGTCTGTTTCTTCTAATGTCACTGCCCACAACTGGAAGGACAGAGGAAAAAATTACTTGTGCGCCAGATTCCCTTACCAAGTGTTCCAAGGCCCTGAAGTCTTTTTTGATTGTCCTTGGACTATGCATTGTGGCTTCATCGCCACCCACATGGAAGAGCAATAATGGAGAATAGTTTGAGGGCTGGGGTCTCCTTCCAGACACTAAACATGCCACAACCCACACTGGCCCACTGGTGTCCAACAGTCCTAATTCTAACTAATCAAGTCTTGTGGCACTTCTTTGTACCTGCCCCTGACCAAGCAGCCTCTTCTGAACCTTCTTCTCAACTTACTTCCTAAGAGTGCACAATATCCAACTCTTACCTTAGTCAAACTGTTCACCTACCAAACCCTTGCAAACTTATTGGCTGTCATCTACAGTAATATCACCGTAGTCCCAGTCCTAACACTGGCAGTTAAGGATAAGCAGTTAAGGCTTGGCAACCCCTAAGGTCTAGATCTAATCCTAGATCCTCCAATTTCTATCCTATGGATTCTTCAAAATTCAGCCTCTCTAACAGTTTAGAACTAAATTTTATCCTTAGCTCTAAGTCATCCCTTAACCATCAGCAAGTCCAGCCGTGCCCCATCTTACGTTTAGATAGGCAACAACTACTGTGCTTCCCATCTTCATTTCAAATTTAAAGGTAGCTCCAGCCCAAGAAAAAGACTGACATAATTATCTTTTATACTTTGCCAATTTACAGCAACTGTGCTGTATAAGGAGTGCTCACTGGTACTCAGGCATCAGACATCAAAGCCCATGGAATTACTAGCAGTAATCAAGGAAATACAATGCAACAGATGTTCTGAATTTCTCCATTTAGTGGTGATATGTCAGAATAATTCTCTCCTACCTGATACTGAATCTCTTCTGGATTTTGCTACATAGCGATTAAGCAGTTTCCTCATAGACTGGTCAGAAGCTTCTTCTAACGCACACCTTCCCATCTCATTTTTTAATAAGGGATCAGCTCCATACCAAAGTAATAACTCTGCCATCTACAAAAATAAGTTTTTCAGTTTGTTTATTTTCTGACAATATTTTCTATATTCCTTCCTTATACGGGCTTCTCTCTCTTGCACTTGACAACATGAGCCAAATCAAATCTAAGGCCTATGACAAATAATCCCTCTCTGTTGTAGTTATTATAGCCCAAGCATTCCCTTAGATGCATCATTATCCTATAGTCTTATTATTTTATTTTTGTAACTTCATTCTAGTCATTAACCTGATGACCTTAAGCCAAGGTCTCCAAAATGTAGAGTAGGATTCATCCCCCCATAGCTCTTAACTGGTGGAAAATAACAGGTGATTTTAGGGTATGAGTCAGCTTATCTATTTAGGATATCTATTTTAGGAGAAAATAAATTGTGTTCTGGGTATGTCTGCTGTGACTCCGGTGACTGCAAAAGGAAGCTTTGACAGCTATTTCAGATGTACAGCATACATCTGTTAAATGAAACCCACTCAGATGGTCTCACCAACATCATGATTTCTGTACAAATATAAAGCCTGATTCTGCTTATTCAAGAAATTATCACTTTTGCAAAATGTTCCATCTACCTTTGCAAACTACTTTTTTAAGCCATGGGAAATTCACAGTCCAATTATTTCCTTTCTGGGAGTAACCCTGCAATCTTACTCCAGCACTAGTGTGGTTTTACTTGCACCTCCACTCTACTCTCTTCAGCATCTGTTATTGTTTCAGACTGAGCTTGACTCACAGCCTTCACATGGGCGTGTAACGTCTCTCATTACTTGTAACCAGATTGCTACTGAGAAAATTGCTAGTGAAATTTTCTCAATTCATACATTCTCCTAACAATGGGAGTAAATAAAAAAGGGTTCAGTCCGCAGGCTCTCTTGGGTTTCACAAGTTGTCCCAAATCTATTGATTTTTTCAATGAGTAATGCTAAGAACTATTCCTCCTTAATGAGAACTTTAGCTGCACATCACACTTGTATACTCTACACCTTAACTGTACTATTAGAATGTCTTTCATAGACTTCGCATTTTTCTGAATTAAGAAACTAATTTTGCCATACTGCAGGTGCAGAGGGCTAAAGCAGTCAAAAGATGTGTTTCCCACCTACAACACACCTTAATGCTGAGAAGGCAGCTTTGAAAGAACCAGCTCCAAACACCATGTTACCAAAAGTCTTCTTACTGAATCACTATAACGATCTTGTTGCTGATGAGAAGCAACAGAAATTAAGTCTTACAAACCACTGAAGTGATACAACTATTCTGCTCCTAAGTAACAGCGCCACCAGGTAGTACCATGCCCTGTGGATATACCAGCTCACATAACTCTACCACTGCTTTGTGTTGAATGTGTTGGTGTGCCCTTAGTGACCTAGCTGAGATCTGTGTTCTTCCAGTATCATTCAAGTGCCTGACCCCTAAATGTTACTTGCGGAGATGCAGAGTCCTTCATCCATAACCATGGACATGGTGTCTTAGGTACCTTCACAAAACTCAGAAATATTTCATGTACCTGTGAGAGTCTGCGTTCCATAAGCTGAAAACCAAGCCTGGGACTCAAGTCTCAGAGAAAATTATTAATCAAAATTCCACCCTTCCTCTTTGCTCCAGGGAGACTTGGGGAGAAACAGATTAAGACTTACCTCAGTTGTGAAACAGAAAGAGAACAAATATTTAGGGACAAAACTTACTACACTCCACAAATTTTTTTTTTTAAATCTTGGTAATTAATAAATACTAGGTAGCATATGTGCACTTCTAGAGAAAGAAACAGCAAGCAGACAAAAGCGACATGCAGAACTCCTACATAAATCTGGGCCACCTTAGGAACATGCACAAACAGACAGGCAGAGGCAACGACTGCCAGACTGAAAGAGGATCTAAGTTCAGACACAGGCTTACGAAACCACAGCATTTGGCAACAAAACTTATAATTAATTCACATTGACTATTCAGCTGACTTTCTGTTTAAGATCATATGTCGTGGTTTAACCCCAGCCAGCAACTAAACACCATGCAGCCACTCGCTCACTCCTCCCCCTTTCCTGTGGGATGGAAAACTGAAAAAAACTCATGGGTTGAGATAAGAACAGCTTAGTAACTAGACTAAAATAAAATAACAACAACAATAATAAAATATTACAATAATAACAACCGTAATGAAAAGGAGTATTACAAAAGAGAGAGAAATCAAACCCAAGAAAAGACAAGTGATGCACAATGCAATCGCTCACCACCCGCTGACCAATACCCGAGCAGCAATCCACCCACCACAGCCAACTCCTCCCAGTTTATATACTGAGACTGATGTCCTATGGTATGCAATATCCCTTTGGCTAGTTCAGGTCAGCTGTCCTGGCCTTTCTCCCTCCCAGCTTCTTGTACACCCGCTTGCTGGCAGAGCATGGGAGACTGAAAAATCCTCAACTTAGGATAAGAACTACTCAGTAACAACTAAAACATCAGTGTGTTACCAACATTATTCTCACCCTAAAACAACAACACAGCACTGTATCAGCTACTAAAAAGAAAATTAACTCTGTTCCAGCCAAAACCAGGACACCATACAAAATACAAAGCTGTGTCTGTGTAAGTCTCCATGCTATGCATTAATACACAAAAAATGTCTGTGCATGGCTGTGGCTGCACACGATACACACATTTACTAAACCATGAAAAAAAGTCATTAAAACTCCAGAAGACTGCTCACATCATAAATTATTCTGAAAGGTGATTATAAAACAAGTGAAACAAGTAGCACTAAACTGTAGCAACCTGTTCCTCAGTACTTCAGCCATTGTCGCAAGCTGTTAGAAAATTCAATTAATTTCTGCTTTTGGACAAATCTTGTAAAGCACGGAATGGTTTGAACAGAAATTGGGCAGAATGGACTTGCAAGCTCCTGAATTTACCCATAATCTGAAAAAAACAGCCACATGTAAAAAGATTATGTGACCTTCTGGACCCAACAACAATAACTTCTATTCCTAGACCGTAATTTGTGTTCAATTTGGAATATACCTCATAATGGCCTCCTTCAACTGCAAATTGCAATGGTGTTATTTGTTCATTTCCTCTAGCATTAACATCACCTCCTGCTTTCAAAAGCTCATTTGCTATCCCATAAAAGCCTTCCACACTTGCTGTATGTAGTGCAGTCCAGCCTATGAAAAAGGAAAACCTGTATTTCACATTTGGGTAAAATAATATATAAAATTTTATGTCAGTTTTAAGTTGTCTATTTGATAAATATTTCAGAGAGTATACTAAAAATGTAAAAAATGATGCATTTTACAATAAATTCTATGAAGAAATATTTATGAAAGAGTCATAAGTGTTGGGAGACCTCATTTTTCTGTCAAAATTTGCACCTACTGAAGAACCAGGTGCTGCTGTAATGATATTAGTTTTACATTTGATAGTTCTGTTACGAAAGAAAAGAATAAGTTATTCCATCCATATCTTAGTAATTTCTCCCCAAATAAAACTATATGGTATTTTAAGAACAAGATAATTTTTCATGATAATTTACACAGCCATACTGAAGAACATAAGTAAGAAAGAAGAGAAAAATTAAAGACCTGGAGTCTTTACTGCCAAACAAAAATGTTTTCTAAGATCATCCAAGAACAGTTTGAGTGTTCAAACAAAGGAATGAAAAATTCTTACTGAAAATCCATGCCCATTCCCAGCTATATGGAATAAACCAAGATATGAGCTTCATGACCCACAAAGCAATTCTACTCCATGAAGGCAGTGTGGAGGAAAAATAAAAGATGGAATATAAGTCTTTGAACTGGATTTAGCATATCCTTGCATCAGTTTCTTAAACATTCATGATGTGATTGTTTTTCACAGGCTGAGAAAACTAAGGGAAAAAGACAGAGGATCTTCCACTGCCTATCTTCCACCTCTCAAACCAGCATGCCCTCCAGAAGACCATTTTGATGGACAGCCTTACTCTTCAACCATCTCCCATTATCAGAAGGTTGTCTGGGCCTAATTCACACCCTAAATATGTGAATTAATATGTGAATTAGGCTTATTAAGACTGTTCTGCTACCATTAAGCAAAATTATCTTAATTTCATTGGAAAAAGAACGCTTGAGGCTCTCTTATACACCACCTAACCCAGAATATCGTATATTTTTATAGAATTGTGTTTATCATGGGCACAGGATCTTGCATCAGGTTGTGCAAAAAAATTTTGTGCTATTAGTCTTTGTTCCCAAATGCTTGAAAGTCAACTAGGTTTTAACTCCATTGTCTAATGTTGACAGTGCTTCAAGACGAATGGTTTCTAACAGTATCATCTGTGAAACATTTTACTTGCATTTTATAGAGCCTATTTCATTAAGAAACTCTAGTAACTCCATACTCTGGAGCAAAAGCTTGAAATCCATTAAGGGGAGGATAAAAAAGGTTCACTCAGGGGAAAGTACCTATTTCTCTCTCAGTAAAAAGGATGCTCTATCTGATATACCAACAAGCTCCTGAAAAATTGAACCTGCAACATGGTCAACTGATAATCATGAGAGTTTAGCAACTGTGGATGGACACTGTGCATGCTCCAGACCAAGGAGAAACACAAGTTTCATTGCAACAGTTTTTCAGCGCCCTCAAGGCACTGTGAATCAAAACTCAAACTGATAGCACAGACAGTATCTCTACCATGTTGTCCATATCCTATCTGCTGACATCCAGGAAATAAAAAGGAGAAAAAAAAAAAAAACACAAAAGAATTCAAGAATTCAGCAAGGTACTGAAGCAAAGTACTGTAGCACAGGAATAAGGAATAATACTGGACTAAGATATGGAGGGCTTAAAGGAGGACAAAAGGCACAGAGACAGAATATAATAACCAGAAAAATTACTCCCAAAAAGCGTGAGATGAAAGTGCATTTAAAAATGGCACAGGTCTGGCAACTCTACTTTCTGATTACACCTCCCTCCCTAAAAAAGAAAGAAGTTGGGCTAGGTCACCCTCTCATCTCTTCAAGGAGTTCAACTAAAACACGTTTTGTGCAGTTGTGCTCCTTTCACACCAAGAAACAGCAGTGAGAGTCTGGGGGATGAAAAACAATAGCCTGGCAAAACATGCAAAGGCAAAAAAAGGAAGCAGCTGTGAGGCCAAAAACTGGAACCAGTTCACTTTAGTACACTTGCCCACAGAGGCTGCAGCTGAATCCCCACTATCAACGTTCCTCTGTTGTCAGCAGGTGGCTTTGAAACCCACCAACAAAATCTTTCCTCATCTACCTCTAGCACAAGTTCATCATGAGCCACTTTGTTAGCTCAAATGCTAGAGTCCTATGTTGTAAAGTCTTAAATTTGCTGCCCACCAAATCTATCTGTCAATATATTCCAGAAGACAGAGACTTTCTACCTTAATTTTGGTCTGTTATACGCCTGTATTATGCAATAGCCTTTAACTGCTGAAGACAGTTCCCACAGAAGAGTTGTGAAATCCTAGCCACTGCACAGGACGGAAACACTCTAAGAACGAATCAAAGTTTTCTACCAAATGAGCCAGCTGTCTGTGAAACCATTTTCTGTTATGGAAGTTTATCAGAGTGTAATGGATGAGACGGGGAACTGCAAAATAAGGAACAACAGTCTTACATTTGAAACAACCAATTGATACTTTAGGGTGCCGCAACGTCTTTTGCCACAGAGTATCACACATGAAGCTGGATAAGGTGAATTGCTTCAGTCAAAATATTCACAGCTGGCCACTATTTGTCATTCTTCCTTTTTTTGTGCCCAAGATGAAGTAAAAATGCAAAATATCAAGTACTCGCAACTTCACAAAATCAAAGCAGTGCTAAATTATGAAGCTACGACTTCCTCTAAGATGCAAGGTGCAAATCAGACTCACTGAAAAATTAAACTGGAAAATCTAAACTTTGGCATCTCAAATTGGCCACTGAAATGGACCAAAAAAATTCTTTACACATTACATTGATTATTTAATCAAGGGGCTGTTTTGTGATAAGCATGCACAGGATTGCTGAATAATGGCTAAGTAAACTTAATTGTATCACTTTGTAATTTTTAAGTGCTTACTTTTTCCACAAAATTTTCTTTTTTAAGATACTTTTATACATAGGTCTGTATATTTTCTCATGAACAATTACAAAGTTAAAAAAATAAAAATTTAATAATCTACTGACTAGTCACAAACTTACAGTCTGGCCCACTGCAGAAACTCAAAATATGCACTTTTATTAGTTATAGGTAGATACTTGTTTTGAAAATAGTTATTTAATACAACTGCAACTTACCAGCATAATCCTGAACATTTATATTTCCACCGGCTTTTATTATTTTACGTACAAGGTCCACAGCGTGATGAGCAACAGCTCTATGCAGCAAGGTCTCACCATAAATATTCCTCCTATTGATTGTTGAAAGTGAAATGGGGCCAACACGATATACAGAATTCCTACCAAAGGCTTCTTGCCCTGAAAAATAATGTAAAAGATCTGATCTGTTGAACAGAAAAGTATCTTTCCTCTCTTATTTTGGCTTCACTTTGCATTAGTTCTAGTAATAAAGTTTCTGGATAAAAAATGCTCAATACACAATCTAATAGAAACAAGTATCTCAAAAAACACATTACCAATTTAATAATAATATCATTCAATAAAAGATGCCATAGTCAATTCCATAACAAAGCTCAACTGAAACTGAATACACAAGAATATGACTTTGTAAAAGTGTGTTTAGAATTTTTCCTTTTTAATCACATTTTTGCAAAGTGCATTGTTTCCTGCTGGATAATAAAACTGCTAATCTAGGTTGCAATTCATTACAAGATGAACACTTCAATAGCTAGTCAGTTATTCAATAATTTCTCTTTTCTTAAAGGTAAAATTTATCAGCAGTTCTTTTTTACTCATTTATGTTTTAAAACGTCTGCTTTGTGAGCAAAGCGTATTCACACTAGGATAGTGATTGGGACTGTTAGCTCCCTGCTGATTACTTTTCTCCATTACTTCAAACCAGCTCAGCTATTTCTGCAATGAGTGAAAGGTGAACAGTTGCTTGGGAATGTGAGGCCTAAATGTAAAACTTAAAATGTAAAAGGTACTATTTTAAAATTTTTAGTTCATTATTTTAGTGGACAAAGGAAAGGCTGCAGATGTTGTGTACCTAGACTCTAGTGAAGTCTTTGACACTGTTTCCCACAGCATCCTCCTGGAGAAACTGGCTGCTCATGGCTTGGATAGGTGTGTTCCTCACTGGGTAAAAAACTGGCTGGATGGCCAGGCCCAAAGTGTTGTGGTGAATGGAGGTAAATCCAGTTGGCGGCCGGTCACAGGTGGTGTCTCCCAGGGCTCAGCACTGGGGTCAGTTCTGTTTAATATCTTTATTGATGATCTAGATGAGGGGATTGAGTGCTCCCTCAGTAAGTTTGCAGTTGACACTAAATTGGGAGTGTTGATCTGCTCAAGGGTAGGAAGGCTCTGCAGAGGGACCTGGACAGGCTGGATCGATGGGTGGAGGCCAGTTGGGTCACAACAACCCCATGCAGCACTACAGGCTTGGGGAGGAGTGGCTGGAAAGCTGCCCGGCAGAAAAGGACCTGGGGGTGCTGGTTGACAGGCGGCTGAACGTGAGCCGGCAGTGTGCCCAGGTGGCCAAGAAGGCAAATAGCATCCTGGCCTGTATCAGCAATAGTGTGGCCAGCAGGAGCAGGGAGGTGATCGTGCCCCTGTACTGGGCACTGGTGAGGCTGCACCCCGAATACTGTGTGCAGTTTTGGGCCCCTCACTACAAGAAGGACATTGAGGTGCTGGAGCGTGTCCAGAGAAGGGCAATGAAGCTGGTGAGGGGTCTGGAGAAGGAGGATTGCCTGCATGAAAGCACAATGCATGGCCTAGGCCAATAATTGATTTACTAATGAAAAACCTTAGGATAGCAGGCTATATACACTGCTCCTCTCCACAAGCTGTAGCAGATGTGGCTCACTGGCGCTAAAACTCCACTTGGGTGTCAAAAATAGACATTTTAAGTATGACCTTAAACCACATACATCTCCTAGAGCTGTAACTCACAAAGCCTGATGTCTCTGCTGTTTCGTTCACAGTGATATACCGTGAGCTCAGACTAAGTTCCAATCTTCTTAAGTTCTGGAGTCTGTGTAGGTTTTTAGAATCTAATAGATACGGGTTAACTCAGGACCTTCGCTCAGCTGAGCACACGGATAGTGTTCAGCCTTGAGCCTCTCCTCTATCTGTCCAGCCTTGCAAGACCTTAATCATTTAAGATATTGCAGCTCCTAGTCAAAGTTGGTCTAAACTATGCAAGCAGTTAGGAGGGATTAAACTGCATAGACATACACGGAACAAGGCGCAGTTTTGTGTTACACTTAACCCAATTTAACTTCTTACTCAGGAGGACGTATTTCCCATCACTTCTACCTTGCCTTCCCTAGCACATTCCTGGTGTCTGACCTTGTGCAAAACAAGCGATGCTTTCTGATCCAAACAGAAACTTTTCATGCGGCTATTTTTTCAGTGAATTACCAAACTCACAGACTCTTGATTGCCAAGTCTGATGCACAAGGGAGACAAACTTGCTAGACTAGATTAACAAAAAGCTACCTCTACAGGCAGTGCAACTCTTTCTGCAGAAATCATGCTAAAAAAACAACAGCTTGTTTTTTTGAGTGGAAACTAGTAAGTCAATTTGAAATAGATAAGCAGTTAGTCATACAACTTTAAGCCTCACAAAAACGGTGCTTCCACTGGGAATAATTAAAAGCCTGCAAAAGAGAAGGTTTGTTAATTGAGGGTAGAATTATTCACATTGGTAAGATCTATAATGTAGATGTTACACTTCAAATACTTCCAAACTTTGTAACCTGTTTAAATAATTGTAAGTGCACAGATAAATCCAGACTGAGTGGGTTTAAACAAACAAACAACAAAAAAAAGTGCAACTTTTAAGACCCCAATCCTAAAGGTGCTAGAGTGAGAACTTGTGACGAAATTCTGTATTCTACACACTTCTGCACGGCAAAGAATTTCTCTGCATGCATCTTCAAAGGATGTAAAATAGAAAACTAGTAATCTTTCTGACAAAGCACACTGCAAGGAAAAATATTCAGAGTGCTCTGTGACTGTGGTAGTGAAGGCACTATAATCCTATAATCCTATATTTAAAAAAGACAGGATAACAACAGCAGGCATTCAAAACAGAATAAACTGTTTTGTATAGGTCAATTCTTGGGGATGGCACTGCCCTCAGAATGATGTTGCACACAGAATAGTAGATTACAGAAGGATATAGAAATGCATATTAGGATCTACATTTTCACTCTGCATGAAAACATTCTTCTTCTGCATTTCAGAATACACCATATCTTTTTCATCTGTAACACTGTGATAAAAATTGCATCCTGAAAGAAGTCCCATGATTCTTAAGGAGTTTATGCACACAAGTCAACTGTTAGGTTGCTAATATATTGGATTAAACAAGTAAGGGAAATGATCAATAATTTTAATTATTAAAATTAATGTTTATACCAACTTTTTAAAATAAATCCACACCACAATATATTGGAAAGGTTATGAATTATACGAGATTCAGTATAGTTGTTAAAACAAAAAAAAAAAGTATGATAAACATCAGATAGTATCTTACTCAGTTTGTTTTCAATTCTCTTGCTCCTTCTTCTCTGCTTAGCTTTTGTATTCTCATTCAGAGCTACATCTTGGCACACGCTGGTTTCTAGATCCTGCTTGTCTTTAGAAGTAGATTTCTGAATTTTACTGACAAGAGATTGGTTTAGAATCAGCAAAAATATTCTCTTCTCTATACAAATCAATATTAGGGCTAAGAATGTGAACATACTTTATTTTAAAAGGAAGTCTGTAATAGCACACAAGTATCTTGGATAGCTTAGGTAGTACTGAATAAAGAGTAAATCAGGAGAGAAACTAACTTCCAGATCTTTAAAAAAAGGTAAAACCTTTACCTTTTGATCACTTAAAGTCAGTCACATGAGGAATGAGTCCTCTATAGGCATTGTATTTGTAACATTAATTTAAAGAAAGAATTTAAGAATATTATGCATGATTTTGTCATACTCAAAATCCTTAGCTTTGTTTCTTGATGTATTGTCTCTGTGAGACATCCTCTGCTGTGTCTCTTCTAGTATTTGGTGATGACTGGAAACATGATCTCTGCACTTCCTTGGGGAGGTCCCCCTTAACTGCATCGCTTTCCTTGATGTTGTCTGAGCTGTTTCTGCACATGCTGCAGCCTCCACTGAATGCGAACTTCCCTCTCCAGTTTGATTTTCTCTAGAGGCAGCACCACAGTAATCTGAAATTACTTCTTCCTCTCTCTGCTGACCATCCACAGGCTGTGACAAAAAAAAGAAATATTACAAGCAACTGGTAAGGATGTCGTTAAAACAAGGGCTGTATATGTAAGAGCTCCAAGAACATTGTCTTACAAATTATATGTGTGCTTACAGACAATGGAGGCATTGCTGAAGTGACTGGAAATCTACAAATATGAAAGACAGAGGTTGCCATAGGAGACTAAAGTAGCATGCTACACCATGTGTCCCTGGCAGAATTAGCCAAGGGAATTAGGATACTCAGAATCATAACTTAAACAATAAATCTAAGCTCGCTGACAGCAAACAAAAGTGGTTACAACATTAAAGTTGTTTGTTTGGTTGGACATATGAAATGACTTAACAGACTCATCTCTGTTTCCTATGGACATGAGCTCCTGTCCTAAAAATAAAGTGATGTTAAAGATGTCCTAAGCTAGCCCATCTTACCTCACTCTTGCACAAGCCTAGAAATGTGCGAAAGATCAAGAACCATGTTTCACCTGAGGTTCTCCCAGCTGAGAAGTTATTTCTGAAGACATACCACCCCTGAGTTACAGCCACGACAGATGAGATTCACTTCACTTAACTTCAGCCTTCTAAAAGCCAGGCAACTAGATGACATTAGGTATCCTCACTACCCCTACCATTGGTGAAGAGCAAGAGCTACTTTCAGAGGTGACAGTGATTCACCTCGTCCTAAGCTGTGCAAAGGGAAGCCTAAATGATCGGTCTATATTATCTCTAACAGTAAGGGAGAGAAATGCCACTCTAAATATATGTCACCACATGGCAGTTAATTTGAGTTACTTGAGTTTATTCACTGTTTTAGTCAAGCGAGTGTGACACGCTGCTGAGTATCACTCAAGTTGCTCACATTAGCTTACTACACACTTGAGTAATGCTGAAAGCTCTTAGGACACACCCTCAGCACACACGCACAGATGTTCTTTCACAGTGGTGTGGGAGAACTTGTTAGTCTTTTCTTGGGACACAGATTGAAATGGAGGATTCGCCAATTACTTTTTTTAATTGACACATTCAGCAGAGAGGCTACTGAAGAGGTGAACTGCATTTCTAGCAGCGGTCCCTCCAGGTGAAGACATGATGCATGTTAACACAGCAGCTGGGGAAAACCAAGTACTTCAGTTCACGAAACTATCAATGCAATGGAAACATGGCATCACATCTGCTATGGGAAGAGGGTTAGAGAAGAAGAAGAAGAAAACATTTCAAAGAGAAAAAAAGCCACTTGCACTATAATGGACTATATATTAAAATAAATGGGCTACCCAGCATCCTGACTGCATCTACAGGACAGTACAGGCTCTCCTCTTTCAGGTACTTATCTCACGACAACAAGGATACTCTCTGAAGAAACAAGGATGAGAAAAGACCAAGGTGAACAACATACTGTTAGAACACAACAGTTACTAAAAAATTAACTGGGATTTTTTCCTCATTAAATTGCATCCCTACTTTCTGCCTTCAAGTACAGCAGATAGAGGCACAAAAAAAAAAAAGCTAAAATCAATTATTAATCAACAAGAGGTTATAGATCCCCATTCCCACAGGACCCTGCTTCATAATCTTAACTGCAATATTGAGTAAATCTACAGACTAAGCTTCACACAGCTGTCCTACAAATTTCAGAAATCAACACTTCACTGAAATAGCTTTGTAAGTCAGCAAAGTTCTGAGACAATTAGCCTAGAGACCTTTCAGCACCTTGAAATTAGCCATCTTTGTGACACATTTTATTACTTAGTTATATTGAGTTAATACTACCACCAAAAGACAAAATTAACTCGTAGTCTTAGGATGCTTTATGCCATTGTGGGGAAGCAAACTGGCCGTAAAATCACCTTAAATAGCTACTTATACCTGGATGATCACTGATTTGCAGCACCAGATTATTCAAAGACAACACAGAGTACAAAATCTGATCCCAGGTTTTACAAGGGATGTCTACTATACTCTACAGCCCAAACACGGGTCTCCTACGTGTCCTCCTCTTCCCCTTACTATAACCTAAATAGGAAGAGATTATAGTGTTGCTTTCCCTTCATGCTCCTCTCCAGATTTTTGCCTTTCTGTTATTGAATCCAAATTCCAGATAAACTTTACAGCACAGGACACAACACTGTGGACAGAACAGCACAGGGTAATAGAAGGAAGCAGAGAGAAGGATCACATGCTGTGTCTATACATACTGCCTTCTTCTAGGGAAGACATGAACACAAAATCATGCTTCAGTTTTTTCAGTAAGTCTTTCATAGGCAGAACTGAACAAAATAAATGAATTTCTAAACATACATGTAAAAAAACCCCGTAAGTAATCTCTCTAGTCTACAGGGAAGACATAGCTATAATTTCTTTCTAATATTTGCAAAGCATCCGTATGCTACAGTGGTGAGAACTATGATAGCAGAAAACAGCATACTACAGTCGGAGAAAAACCAGAACCAGAGCGGGTAGGAACCTAGAGTTGAAATTGGCTGCTATATGCCAGTGTGCTACAATGAAATAACAGAACAGTGTTTTGGAACTTCCTTGGAGAATGCAAGCCACAGAAGATGTATAGGGGGACCAGGAGTTTTTGAAACTTCCATACTGATTATATATTTCCACATCAGTCAGCAAATTAACTCTATTAGGCTTTCCCATCCCAGCAAGCTAAGTCATTTTCATAACATGGATATATCAACACAGAAAAACACTACTGGACTCTTAAAAATAATTGAAATGTATTCAATATGTAAGTTATTGATGGCAGTTTATTCTTTACTAAGATTCAAGTAATTTGGCCATTCTAGAAAATATTTTATGCTAAACATTATTTTTCAAATATTGATTAAATAAACTGTGTATATACTTGCTCATTTGTTGTCCTCTGCAAGTTAGATCCTATCAAGCCTTTTATTTCTTCCACCTGAATTGTAGCAAGTTGAGGCTCAATCATGTTTGTTATTTGTGTACAGTCATCATCTAACTGGAGAATACTGGGTTCTGAATTTAACTGCTCTCCCTTGGTGTTAAGCTGTGTTTCATTTCGCACTACAGAAGTGACAGTTTTTACTACAGATCCTGACAAGGCATTCAGAGCTGTCACAAGCTGTACTGGCAGGGCATCACTGCTCTCATCTGCTGATGGATCAATGCAAACAGCACGACCCTGACACCCTAACTTGTCAGGCAATGGGTTTATCATTTTAATACTCTCAGAATCACTGAGGGATCTCAACAAATCACTGCTGTCAAATTCACCAGTCTCTATACCCTTTTCAGTGAATGTTTCCATTAAAATCTTCCCTGGGGGTGTTGATGAAAGATCTGTATCATTATTAGGGGAACATTCTTTTACTCTGTCATCTGTGACAGTAATGGTCATGCAGGTTCTCTGGCAATCTTCTAGAACATGCAGAAATGTATCTTGTGCTGTCTGTTCCTTCGGAACCACTACTATATCCTTCAGAAGGGCATCTAGACAGAGGCTTATTTCTGGGAACACATCTTCATTACTTAATTTCTGTGAAATCTAAGCATAAAAAAAAAATTATTTACAAAAAGGAATGGAACAACTCTTTCTAAAAAGCATGTAACTAACATTCACTTTAGAAGTCATCCATATATATACATACATTTTATTTCCAATTTTTTCATAAACTACAAGACTTAAAGCCTTCCCTGAGAAATCATACCATTTCTTAACAAAGGTTAGACTGAAGTCTGTTTCAAAAGCAGCTTCAGCTTCAGCTGTTGACTTCCCTAGCAGTGATAATCCAGAGTAAGAGAGACTAAATCTGTTATGAAGTCAAAGATATTAAGCCATTGCCAAAGACCTGAGGGTGTTAAAGGACTTGAAAAGAAAGGCATTAAAAATTTCTGTCACCCAGAAATAATGAAAGTGAACATATTCACAATAACATAAAAAGCATAGTTAGTAAAACAGAATATATGAGGGTTTGGTTATACTTATGTGGATCCCACACAGGTATGGAGCTTTTGTGCCTCACAAACCTGTTTGGAGGCTGTACATTTGAGTTTCCACACTGAGTACAGAACCACAAAACCGAAACTGTTCTTGGAACAGCAATACTGCTACTGTTTTTCTAATCACTTTGAGCTGCTTTCAACAGGTGCACCCATTCTTACACCACTTAAAACCGCTTTCACTTATTTTCCTATCCCTGTTTCAAACGCTTCTGTGGGAGAAAATCAGATTCCTCAGCAAACCTAAAACACATATTTCCTGTACTTGTATACAGTAGTGCTGTTCCTTGGCAATACTGGATCTTAATGTCTTTCAGTACATTTTTAGACTCTTGCTGCCAGCAAGCGGCAATACCAGGCAGTGCAGGAATCCTCTAACCACTGGTAACATAATTTTGATAAAGCTCACACATGATAAAACTGAAAGGGCAGAAATCTTGACAGCACTGACTCATGTTCAGTTTGTAAGCCATTATAAACCCCTCATTCTTTGTTGAAAAATTATTCCCCACTCTGCTGTTTCCTATCTTGTACCTGTGCAGCTAATCGCTCCTTTTTAAGAACTGACTACTTCTTACTTTGATGTAATGAATTGCAGTTTCTTTTTAGATGGCTTCCCTAATTTGTGCAGACTTTAAACAATCGGTAAAAAACCCCACTGGCACTACTTTCCGTGTGAAGAACTGTGGTTTAACCAGCGTGTATGTATATTTCTGAGGAAAGGAAGACTGCCCCTTGGTTAAGGAGGATTGGGTTAGGGATCTTGTACCCTGACTGGACACTCACAAATCCATGGGCCTTGATGGGATGCACTGTGAGTGCTGAGGGAGCTGGCAGATGCTGTTGCTAGGAGGAAAGCCAATGTCACTCCAGTCTTCAAAAAGGGCAAGAAGGAGGTCCTAGGAAACTACAGGCCAGTCAGACTCACCTCTATCCCTGGAAAGGCGATGGAACAGCTCATTCTGGCTGTTATCTCTTAGCATGTGGAGGAAAAGAGGATTATCAGGATTAGTCAGCATGGATTCACCAAGGGGAAATCAAGCTTGACCGAGCTGATAGCTTTCTATGGTGGCATGACTGGCTGGGTGGATGAGGGGAGAGCAGTGGATGTTGTCTACCTCGACTTCAGCAAGGCTTTTGCAACTGTCTCCCACCACATCCTCACAGGTAAGCTTAGGAAGTGTGGGACAGACAAGTGGACAGTGAAGTGGATTGAGAACTGGCTGAAGGACAGAGCTCAGAGGGTTATGATCAGTGGTGCTGAGTGTGGCTGGAGGCCTGTGGCTAGTGGTGTTCCCCAGGGGTCATTACTGGGTCCAGTCTTATTCAGCATATTCATCAGTGACCTGGATGAGGGGACAGAGTGCACCCTCACAAGTTTGCTGACGATACAAAACTGGGAGGAGCGGCTGACCCGCCAGCAGGCCGTGCTGCCCTTCAGCAAGACCTGGACAGGCTGGGGAGCAGGGGCGGGCAGGAAATAAGGGCAAGTGTAGGGTCCTGGCACCAGGTGAGGAACAACCCCATGCACCCGTACAGGCTG